AATCATGTCTTGCACCTTGAGCAAAATCTTTGCTGTTATCTGAGTAATTATTTCTGATTTCATTTTTCCCAGATCCTCTTTTCTTGCCAGTTCAGAGAGTCCAGGTGGTTGAGTATCACAGTGTTCCATCTCATTTCCCTTTGGGGTTGCTGTAGGTGATCTGGAAATCTGTTTTTGAGGCTTGTTTAATGTGTCTTCTCATTTCCATGGGTGTGAGGGGGGTGCTTCTGGCACCCACGCAGCTCACCTTCTCTGCCCTAGGAGCTTGGGATGGCAGCAGGTGAGCTTCCTTCCAGGTGGTGGGACCGGCTCAGCTTCTCTGCCCTAGGAGGTTGGGAAGGCAGCAGGGGAGCTTCCCTCTGTGTGCTGGGACCGGCCGATCCTCTCTGCCCTAGGAGCCTGGGATGCAGGCGGGGAGCTTTCTTCCGGGTGCTGGGACCGGCTCACCTTCTCTGCTCTAGGAGCCTGGGATGGAGGCAACACATTCTTAATATGATTATCGTAATTGAGGTTACCACATTCCTTAGCAAATTATTGCCATTCTGAGTAATATAAGTAGGACTTTCTTGCAAATGTGGAAAGTGTGGACTTTTTGATTTTTTTTTTTTTTGGTACTGGGGATCAAACTTGGGACCTTGTGCTTGCAAGGCAGGTGGCAGAACCACTGAGCAAAACCTCCAGCCCAGGACTTTTATTAATTATCTGCTTTCTTGTAATGCCATCACCTTTACCTCACTGAACACCATGAGAAAGCTTTGATCAAGGCAAGCAACTTTAACTAAGCTGAGTGCCTGCATATTTACAGATGGTAAGCAAGTTCTGTGTAAGAATAAATAGAAACTGTCCTGCTATTGTCACTACTGTTTAAAAAGACATGAGTTAATTTTTCTTTTATAGAAGAGGAAATTCTCCCTGGCTGTGCTCTGCAGTATTAGACATGGAACCACTGTGTCTCCTGCCTTTATTCTCTTCTTCTTGCCCCTGCCAAGAAAGGTGTGGACAATTGCTTTCTAGAGAAGTAAAACATAAGTCAGAGCATTGAGGCAGACCTTTCCTGGAACCATTTAGGCATCAGAACTGAGTTGAGCTGGATAAATTTAATTGTTCTTAATTTTCCTTATAAAAAGGTTAATTTCATTTCCTTGTCTTTATTGGCTACAAATAGAACAGCAACATTCTTTTCAGTTTCAGAGATGAAGATTTGGAGAGGACCTGGGAGATCTGGAATTAATCTCAGATCATCCATTTGAAATGCTATCTGGAGCAAGCTTCTCTTTTTGAGGGCTCAGATTCCTTTGTGAAAAATGGCACCTGTTACTTAGAGGCTTCTGATGGATTGAGCGTAAGTTTTACTTTTTTCTAATATATGCACTTAAAACAAATGACTCAAGTGTCACTTATGATTGTAATTTAAGTAAATGTAAGGTTAATTTCCAAGCCTAACTGGATGTGTCTACTCAGGGATGTCTCAGGCTTGACTTCCATTTAGATTTACTTTAACAACACGTAGGCCTGTATTTGTCACTTTCTTTGGATTTGCATAAGCTAAGGGAATAACTTTTATCCTCTACCTATTTGCTTATGTGTTGCTTAACTTTGAGGCCTCAGTTTAAATGCCATTTTCTTTGCAGGAGTTTCCCCTGATCTCTTCATTCATGCTCTAATTAACATTCTCTGCTTTGTGTTTTTATTCTCCTCTCTAATTTCTTGACCTATGACTCATAAATTGTACTGTCATTTCTTTTATACCTGTTTCCCCTAATGAACTATGAGGTCAAAGAAGGTCTGCATTCTATATCTATCATATAATAGGTTTCTTGGCATAGAGTATAACCAATAAGTAAACAATAAGAGTAAATCATAATTATTCTAAGAATAGCAGATTGACATAACCTTCATTATGTGACAAGTTAGGACACATTTAATCTTAACAGTAACTCTGTAAAACCGGTATTCCTCTTGCCGTTGGTCTGGGAACCAGTTGAGAACCATTGCACTAAGCATAAGGACAGAAAAGGGTCCCTGTTTCTAAGTCTAAGGAATAGAAGTATACTGAATATAGGAGTTCTCCTGGTACAGGAATGACCTAGAGACAGGTGAAACCATGGTTTGTACATAGAACTTGTCTCCATACTTTCTCAAGCTTTGAACATGGAGAAGTCACGCTGATGTAGGACACTCTGTGAGTTGGCCATAGTGTGTCTATATAGTGATGTTGCCATATGAAATTACATCTGCCCAGTCCCACCAAGTCAAATGCCAGAACCCTGGAAAGACAAATCTTCATTTCTTATTGTACTGGTTTGGATCAAAAATGTCCCCCAAAAGGCTCATGCGTTCAGAGATGGGGATTTTGGAAGGCAATTAGATCATGGGGAACTAACCTTATCAGTGGGTTATTCCACTGATGAGTTCATTGCTGAATGTGCTGTTGGAGTTGGGGCCCGGTTGGAAGAAGTAGACCACTGGGTACATTCTTTGGCTCTTTCCATCTCTCTGTATTTCCTGGTTGCTATGAGGTGAGCAGCTATCCTTTGCCATTTGCCTCAGTCATGACATTTCTGCTTCAGAGCCAGCAGGACATAGACTGAAAACATCTGCAGCCTTGAGCCAACCAACCAACCAAACCAAAGCTTTGTCCTTTAAGCTATGTGTGTTAGGGATATTTTTCCCCCCAGTGACAAAAAGCTGACTAAGTCATCAATGTCATGGAAGCAGTGATGATAAATCAGAAATCCAGACTGCACTTTATGTACATGTTTCCCCTTAAAATTTTTTTAGACTGTCATTGTTATTCAGTCCTTGTAGTTTAGCTCTATGCAGACATAGTGAGCCTCCATGCTGGTGCTTTTGTAACGAAACACCCAACAGATCAGGTTGCCTAGTAATCCATAGAGAACTCATCTGCTGTGTAAAAAATAACATGTTTAAGTTCTCCAGGAACTATCTGTTTACTCTGCCTTGGCAGCAAGAATTACATTAAGGCTGAAACTTAGCTGTGGAGATCAATACCAAATGGATTTATTCAGTATGCACAGGAGAAAATGGCATAAGTGTCTGTTAACCTGATGACATTTTGTGCTGTTATTGAAAGTTCATTATTTAACTGATGTCTCTTCACGGGAAGGCTGAACTTTGAAATATTAGATATTCTGACTGAAGCGGAGGTTGTAGCCATAAGTCTAAACATTTGCTATTTTTTTTTTCTGTACAGCATGCTCCTAAATATTGGTGTTGTGCTTCAGGATTTGGGCTATACAAAGTTTTGCATGCTCTTTTCTCTGGTATCCTGGTGTCTTTGGAATGCCATCTTAATTTCTTAGAATGGCTCCATTCCTGTTTCCAGCAAGCCTAATATTTCCTTTGTTTAAGTTGTATTTTGAGGACTTGAGCTCCAGGTGGATGGTCTGATTTCTTCTGACAGAAGTCATGACCAAAAGATAACTCACTAAGTTATACAGCGACATGGATTGGTGTTGAGTCCCAAGTAGGCATAGAGTAGGACAGAGAGTTGCAGAGTTTATATAAGTAATTCTGAGAGGGTAGCACAAATTGAAGATATACGTAGAAGGATCATGCAACAGATTTATCAGATGAGGGGGAGATGACAGGGTGTAACAAGGAGAATAGAACAAGAGGAACAGGGGTTTAAAATAAGACCAACTGATACACCTAGGCAGTTAGTGGACCTAGCTCCATAACTTGCACTGGGCTGGCTGGCCCGGGAATGAGTTTGACTGGTTTCATTCATTATATAACAGTGCTATATATATCAGATTTATTTTTTATTCTGATTAAATTTGCTTTGATCTATTTCAAATGGCCTCAATGGCTCCAATTAAAATGTTTTGAAATAGTTATTTGTAGTCATATAATTTAATCAAATAACAAACAAACAAAATAAATAAACAAAAGACCCAAAAACTTTAATGACATTCTGCCTTAAGGCATTTCTAGTGGCATTTCTGCACAAAATTATTGTCATGGATGGAGAGTAACATGACAGCTATATTTTGGTAGGTGACTAGAGTTTCTGTTAACCAGGAATTGATCAGAGCAACCATGTTATTCTGTGGGGAAGTAGCTATTGTCCCATTGTATATATATTTGTTTATCTATTCACCAATTGAAAGACATATAAATTGTTTCTAATTTGTAGCAATTCTTAATAATCCCACTATAAACATTTGCATTTTGTTTTTTTAGTGATTATATGTTTTCATTTCTTTTAAGCAAGTAAGTAGAAGTGAGATTGCTAAATCATATAGTAATAGGTGTTTGACTCTATTGAATATTGTCAATTTTTTTTCCCAGTTTTGGGAATTGAACTCAGGATCTTGCACTTGCCAGGCAGGTTCAGTGCCACTGAGCAACATCCCCAATCCTCAAACTATTTTCTCTAATGACTATTTTACATTTCCATTGTGAGATTCCTATCAGTCTGCATTCTTGCCTGATATTCTCAGTATTTTTAATTTTAGCCTTCCATTAAATGACATTTCAATGTGAATTTAATTTGAATCTCTCCAAGGACTAATGATGTTAAGTATATTTGAATATATATATATATATATATATATATATATACTTTTTTTTTTT